ATGGTCTATATAATTGGTCATATAATCGTGCTTATATAGATGCTTTTTATACAACATCCTTAACTGGGGCGGTAAGAGGATTAGCCCAATTAACTCATTTTTTTGATCGACGAGTAATTAATGGAATTACGAATGGGGTTGGTGTTATAAGCTTCTTTGTAGGAGAAAGTATCTAAAAGTCTCTAAACAGCCATTCATCAAGAGCCAAATTTTTAACTCAAGACATTCTCAATTGATGCAACTTATAGTACCTGCAACAATTAGTTTTTTAAACTTTTGTTGCTTGTATTGGTTTTCACACCATTCTAGCACTCTAGATCAATATAAATCATTTCCATATTAGAAAGAAATGTTTCAATACACCATTTCTCGAAAATAGCTAGTGCATTGAAAATTTGCGAGGCCACTCCTCTCACTGGTATTTATCTCTCTATTGCTTTCATTGACAATTAAATAAATAATAATAATAAATATTTCCTTTTACCTGTGTTGTCATTTCCCCATCTTCGTTAATTTGAAATTATGAAAGTAAACACAATGAAAAATCGAATCCATATTCAACAAATGTATAAATAACAGCACATCCATGAGAAATTACTTTCCATCTAAAAAACTTGGAATATTATGGAATCTCCACTCATCGCCAAATTCTGAAGCAAGCAAACATTAAGTACAGTCAAATTCAGAAGGCAGAAAATAATTGAAACACTATATGTTTCCTAATTATAACTTTAGCACTGCTCTAATGATCAAAAGTAGATGAAAATATTATGCTTCTGGTACTAACTGCTATACGTGTATATCAAGATCCTGAATTTAGTTTGTCTATCTCATCAATTTCCTTCCAAATAGCAATGAAGTGATTTGAAATTCAACTCAATATTACTAAAATAAAACGAGCCCGTGTGCAAACAATATTCAGAATTTATATTTTCTTACAGCATCGTTTCAAAATAATCCAACTTCACTCCAAGTTTATACTATAAAGCTAATTAAAAGTCAACTCTCCTACAAAAAACAAAAAAGGGAAGGGAAAAAAACCCACATAAATAATGCATAGAAATTTGCTAATTCGAATGGGTTATTAACTAATCAAATCAAAATCACAAAATACAAATCAACCCAATTTACAAATTATAATACGATACATCATAAATACACAAATACATATAATTACATATAGCGAGTGGACTGGGGAAGGTTGGGGGCGGGTGGGGGAGAGATACCTGAAGGAGATAGAGAAGGGCCTAGGACAGGGAGGGAATTTATTCTTGGGGAGAATAGAGAGTAAAGAGAAAGATGTGTTGAAGCAAGAGTGGAACTGTGATGTGGTTGTAGTGGTTAAGTGGACTACTTTGAGTGTCGTCATTTGTGAGGATATTCTCACGAGGAAACTTTCCTATTGGTGTAGGATACCGTGCCCTTAATTTACTGACTTCTAGGACAATTAGTACTTCATTCTTCGTATGAAAAAGAATAAAATAATGGTCATTTGTCACTAGAAATTATGGATGGATTATTCTTTTAGAGAAAATGACATTTGGGTTCCAAAATTTTCATTGAGTTGCAACTTTTATCCTGATATTTCATTTGATATCGACGGTCACAAACATTTGTCATTAGAAATAATAAAATTGACTTATTTTGACCAATTTTAGAAGGGTAAACTGGCTACTTAACATTTTTTTTTTATAATACGCTATTTCCTTTAAAAATATATATATATATTAAATACACTATTTATCTTCTTTACCAAATCTGCCTCCCGCAACCACAACTCCCATCAACCAACCAAATCCACTATCTTCACCCTAGCTGTCATCTTCACCAACCCTCTTAGAAAGAGTTCCAAATGAATTGAGTCCATCATTCTAAGAGTTAGACTCTTATTGGCTACTGTGATTCGTTTTCATTCTTTATTTTCCATTTTCTCATTTCACCCACCGTCAGTGCCGACCTTGATTATAAGCGGGGTAGGCGATCGTCTAAGATCCTAATTTGGTGAGGGCCCCAAAAAAACTACTATTTTTTTATTTTACATGTATTTTTACATATATATATATATAGGACCTCATGTTTGAAATTGGTCTAAAGACCGCAAATTCTCAAGCCCGGCTTTGTCCACTATTTGGATTAGTATTATCGTTCATGTGAATGTTTCATTTTTATTTTTATTTTTTTGTTCAAATTCCTGAATTCTCATACACTATAATGCATTGAGCCGTAAAATTTAAGCTACGTATGACTCAAAGTCGTGTTGAAAAAATAATTAGTTGCAATAATGTTCAGAACAATAAAATGCAGAAATATAAAACTTATCGTCCGATTGAATCTCGTGACAGCACAATGTCCTAAAGTGAAATTGCCCGTTGATAATTGCTGTGACCTCCGTGAACAATCACTCCCAGGATACAATGATCGTAAACCACTTGTGCAGCAATTACGAAAGATTTTTCCAGAACTCTCAATTATACTCCAGAATATATGTAAAAATCCGAGTATAAGAAATTCAGAATATGAAAAGGAGGATTGATGCAAGATAATTTTTCTATTTTCTTTTTTATGTGTGTTTTTCCCAAAACGAGATAGGAGTTTATATAGGTAAGATGAAAGTAATAGTCTCCACCATGATCAGAGAGTAATGCAGAATTTTAATGACTGAGTAGTGGGTATTTTAACGACTGTTAATGGATTGTTACAAAAACAAACGATCAGAAAATACTAGCTAGTAGCCATTAAATAATAAAAATAAAAAAAAATTTATTTTAGTCAAAGAAGTCCAAAGCTCCAATCAAGACATTTTAATATTTGCGTGGGAAGTGACCCGAACCCCTGACGTCCCATACAAAGGCTGCATTTCCTACCACTTTGGCACTTTATCTAATTTGATTATTTCTTCACATTTGATATTTATATCATAAATATATAACAAGTGGTACCACAATTTTATCGAAAATCAACCAAAATCAAGTATTCTTCATTCCTTAGTGGAGTAATAATCTTAGCTGTAAAAATGTTAATGGGTTTGTTTTGTTTAGAACATTATTTACGTATGGTAGTTCTACTATATATTCTAGTCGAATGCCTGATCCGAATGAGTCGACCACCTTAATGAAGGAGGATGGAGTTGTAGTTTGTTACTAAATGTGGACTGAAATTTTTTGAGAAGTCGAGAAAAATGTTATCAATTTGACCAATTATTTGATAAGATTTGAGTTGTGGGTGTTGGCTTACGAGAAAGTATGGGGCTAACAAAACAGGTGTTGGGCGTGGAAGCTCCGATACCATTTGTTGATCCCAAATTTAATTGTAAAGAATGAGATTTAATGACAATATTAAAATAAATAAGATCACACCACGAAAACAAAATTTAAAGTAAAGAAGAACAAAAATGGTTAATAGTAGAGGAACGGTGTTTATTATAAATTGACAATATGGAGAGAAATTACAGACATATTAATAATGTTTAAACAAAACTGACAGACAACCATTGTATTTATAAGTCACGTTTCAAACTCTATAAGAGTCCTAAAAGGTAAGAAAATATATTACAATTAAGAGTAGAGCTGGGCATGGTTTAGTTCTAAAGAGAGAACCGAACCAAACCGAATCAAAAATTTTGGGTATTGAGTAAGTGGAACCGTCGGGTCCAAATATAATTATGAAACCATTCGGATTCTGTTTCGTTCTGATCGGTTCAGTTTGATTCGGTTCTGTTCGGTTCCATACCATAATTACATTTTTTTTAACATTTACAACACTACATAAATACAACCAATAACATATTCAATTATAACTTTTACAAATTAATGAAGTCCAATTCAAAAACATATAAATAACAAGTTGTCCAATAAAATTAATTTATCGACATATACAAATATCAAAATGTAGATACTGATGGTAAAATATTAGTGATTCATATCAATAATTTATTTGCTCCAGCCTTCAAGTCTACATAATTTTTTTTTTAATTAGAAGTCATAGAGATAAAATATTTTTAAGTATTACTAATATTTAACAGCTATTTGATTTAATCATTAATTGCTTGACTTGCCATACGAAGAAACTCTACAGAAAAAATTGAAAAAGTACAATTAACAAACATAAATAACTAAAAATTGTTCAACTAATAAGATTTAATAAGAAAAAAAACATATATTTTATTACCTGTCTCAATACTCTTATAGAACTCTGTCTCTTTAACGCAAACTCTATATTGGGAAACTCTCAAAAGTCTAGATTCTTCCATTAGTCAGTTTCATATACAAATCAAGGCCTCAACTATTTTAGGAGTTAAAGAACTCCTAAATGGATCAAGAATGCGTTCTCCAGTGCTAAATGCTGACTCAGAAGTAACTGTAGATACATGAATGGCAAGAACATCCCGTGTAACCTAAAATAAAAATTCAAATCCTGAATTGTTGATCTTCCACCAATTTAAAATGTTAAATTTTTCATTAGTAATATCTTCAGTAGGTTCTATTAGATATCGTTGTACCTCATATTTTTCAGAAAAATTCATTTTGCTAGTTTTCATTTTCTTGTACCCAAAATCAAAATTACAATCATCCCAATCATCATCGTCATCTAAACCCTCCAACAAAGTGACTCCATCATTATATTCATTTTTACCACTTCCACTAGCTCCATTGTTTAAACGATGACATCCCTTGTATTGGTTATACAAAGCATATAATAATTTCATGACCTCATTTTTTGTGGCTTCAACCTTAACAGGGTCATACAAGATACCAATACAATGTACAACAAACTCCAACTTATACTGCTATAATCAAAATCTTGTTCATTTTATCAACGTTACCCCAATACTTGTCAAACTTAATCTTCATGCTGTTTGTTATGCTACTTAGCAAATAATCTTGCTTATCACCCATTTTTTTTTTTCAAAATTTGCTCAATTTTACAAACTTCTTGGAAGTAAATATTGGAAGTAACACTCAATGAAGCACTAAATTTTAATGTGACATTATAAAATATTCTTAGAAACTTGGCAAATTTCTAGCTTTCTCCCAATCATAACTTATAGGTGGGCCCTCTTTTTCTTTCCTACCTTCATTCTCATCAAAATACTTACAATAAAATCCATCCCCTTCCTCAATTCTATCAAAAGCTTTTTCAAAATTCAATACACTATCCAACATTAAGAATGTTGAATTCCATCTAGTAGGAACATCTAAAACAGCAAGTTTTTTTGCATGCAATCTTTTCCCTTTCAATACAACACTTAATTTCATCAACCGGGAAGGAGACAATTGAAAATATTTGACCGCATTGCGAATACTTTCTATAGATGGATTAAACTCTTTCGACCCTTCTTTAACAATCAAATTGACTGTGTGTGCTGAACAACGTACATGCAGATAAGAGCTACCTAAAATCATAGCATCATCAGGTTTCCAATTTTTCAACTTATTTTTCACATAAATGATCGCCGCATCATTTGTGTTTGCATTGTCTATAGTAATGGAACCCACACGCTTTATTCCCCAATCAAGCAAACTGTTTTCAATAAACTTCTCAATTGTCTCCCCTTTGTGATTTGGAACAACAGAAAAAATCAATATCCTCTTATGCAGTTTCCAATTCTATCAATAAAATGTGCTATGACTACCATATAATTGATGTTTTAAATTGATATCCAACTATTTGTGGTTAAAGAAATCTTTTGCCTATCATTAATAAATTTAATCCTCAATGATTCCTTTGTTTCATGGTGGAGATGCATTCTTCGAGAAGGAACCTCAAATATAGGGCAAAGTTGATGAACAAATTCCTTAAAACCCACAAATTCCACAAAGGAAAACCAATGCATCAATAATAATCATCTTAATCAATGCTTTTCTACACATTTCTTTATTAAACACCATAGTCATAATACCACCATCATTGTTTTCTCAAGTGAGTAGTGTTTGGTTTTCATCAACCCTAGTGTTCTTATATGCATAACAAGTTTTTAAATGCTTCTACGTGTTAGAAGTCCCA